GGAACATTGGTAAACAGAACAAGGGCCAAGCAACTTTTGAGGTGGCATTTATTATGTATTTTTAAAATTTTTATTGAAAAGAAGATGAATTGAACAATAATCAACGGACGCTTAGTCAATTTCATGATCAAAAACAGACGGTATGATATTGATTATTATTGTTTATTTATTTTAGTTAGATATTATCCTTAACATGATCTAATCTTTTGTTTTTAAAAAAAAAATTAAAAAAGTGGATTGATGATCGTGAGCGTTTAGAAGATAAATTAAGCAAACTGGAAATAGCTGCTCAAAGACTTGAGGCCGAACTTAGTAATGAGAATTTGCACTTAAAAGAAACTATTGATAAATTAAAACTTGAGTTGGAAGAAATGGAAAGAAGTAGCAGAGTGTTAAATGTTAATAAAAAATATCCTTTGTTTTATCTTTATGAATACTTTTTCATAAGATTATTTTAGCATATTATCCTTAATATAGGCTTACTGAATTTGAAGCTATCAGTGAAATTGATAACATAAATAACAACAAGGTAATAAATTATTTAATATATATAAATTTTTTTTTAAAAAAAAAAAATAAAAATAAGAAATCTAATTAAAATTTACGATAAATAATAGAATAATCTGGCAACAGAAATAATTAATCATGCACTCGCGTCGATAGAAGAAGGTGGTTCAGACTCAAACACAGATGATGTAAGGGATCGACAACTTATTAAGGTAGCTGAATTCTTTTTGTTAGAAATTGCTATATTAAGAAAATATGTTGACAAAATTCATTACTAGACTCAACGAAGGCGTAAAGATGACACATCAGATATAAACGCTAGTGAAGAACAATCGCATTCGCGATCCGGTGAATTAGACAGATATCGTGGTACAGATATCGACCATACAAGCCGAAAACAAAGTGGATCACGAAGTCGCCGTCAAGTAACAGATGTGAACGGAATTACACGAAATACCTCTGGTAGGGATATCGAATCTCAATATCAAATATTATCTTCAGAATTAGGGGTTCAATATGCCTTGATTGAAGGTATTTTAAGGAACCGAGATATGCCAGGTCCACATGATAAGAGAGATAGAGATAGACAAATTAGGAATAGTGTTGACGGAGATAGTACCGATCTAGTGAGACATTCTAAGCTTACACGTCAACCAACAAAAAGAAGCAAGCGACGAGGTTAATCTTTATTAATTTTTAGATTAATAATTTATTTAATACATAAATCTTCTTTTCGTCATTAATTGTACTAATAATACTATTCGATAATTTTTCATTGAATATTGTAGCGCCAGTCCCAGAAATAGAGGTATATGACTTGAATTCAGAAATTTTTGTTATTTTGATTTATTATTCACCTTTCTTAAATTATAGCCACAGTCGTCGGAAAAAATCGAACAGGCAATGCAATCTTCAAAAGCCCTTGTTACGCGTAATCAGAATATGACTGTTCAGCAGAACAATGTGGTGGTCAACAGCACTGTTACATTCGCATTATACACACTTGTAATCTATCTTTTCGGAATTATTACATCTGTGTTTGTTCTTGATAACAACCAAGGGGCCCTTACGTATAGTGATTGGTTACCTCATGACGTAGTCGATGAAAGCTGGACTATGCGTTCATTTCAAATTATATTGTATTGGATCGAAACATTATTAAATGATGGAAATATGAGAGTTCCTACGTAAAATAAATCAGAGACTTTTTTTATTTTATTTTATATATTTTATTTTTATATTTTTATTTTTTTCTTGTTAAATATGTAGTCAATATTTCTTTGATTGTGGGATGTCGTCGATTTAAAAAGTCGAAAAACTTGAATATTCAACTTTTTTTTTAATGTCAGTCCGTTTTTTCTCTCTTTTTAATTGTTTAACAAGTGGCATTTATACACTTGATTTTGTTTTATAATTTGTATTATAATTGTTGATCTTGAGTTTGCAATCACTATCATTCTTCCATTTACCTAAATCTTCCCCCTTTTGAAAAATCACATTACAGTCGCATTATTTTATCATGGTATATATATATATATATATTGGAAATTTCAACTTTAGATTTTATCAATTTGGAGGGCATATATTAGTGATATTTCAAAAAAATTTTCCAAATATTTTTTTTTTTTCTTTTAAAAGAAAAAAAAAAGAACTGTCTTTTACCTAATTGGAATAAGAATTTATTATTCGATATAAATATAAATATTACTCTAATTGAAATCAAATATTATCGTAATGCACCTACCTATACCACATTTTTTCTAATAATATCAAAAATAATTCTGTGTAAGAGAGCAAGTTCACCTAATTTTGTTTTTTTCAGATATCTCGGAATTTATTTTCAAATGTAATCGTAAATGTTGTAAAGGATACAATATCATATTTTAACATACCAAGTATTATTATATACAGACAATGAAAAAAAAATTATCACCTAAGCTCAAACAAACCAACTATATAACGATCATTTAAAGAATATGATTAACCTTTTATTTTATAATTATTATTATTATTAATTTTTTTTTCTGTTTTTTTCTCTTTTTTTTTTTAACTTTGACCTCGTTCGCTAGAAGTTCTGTCCGAACTATATAATCATCTTTATTCAATAAAACTTTTAAAAATTCATTGGTAATAGACAATTCTCAGAAATAAACTTACGAGTATCGTCTGTCATCATGACTATGCCTCCTATCTCTTTCATCATCAGAATATCTCCTATAATATCTATCATCACGATCACGTCTTGCAGGTGTTAATGATCGCTTAGGTGAACGAGAACGAGATCTACAAAATATCAATATTATGTTAAAAATTTCTATTCGGGATCAAAGAATAGTGAGATAGGGTTTAAAGAGGAACTAAATCTCGCTGAACATTATACATATAAATATTAAATTTATGAACATTTCGGCGGGAAAGAAAGCTGACGGTGATTCTTTGAAACGGAATTCAATATTTCGACCATTCAAATTTCCGAGAGCTTTCAGATACGGACAGGGTTTTAAACCACCATTATTCAATAATCTTAGGTTGGTCGGACTGATACTCTGGTAGTCTTTTGAATAGTATATAATTCTTCCCGCGGAACAATTAAATTCCAAATAAAAAATGTAGGCTCATCCTCCTGTCCCAAGCACTAATTCTTTAGAATAATAAAATGTTTTTCTATATATAACTTTCGGCTAATGTGAAATAAATTATTGTCCTGACCACACGGTTGAAACGGATTCGTCGAACACTGACTATGGTCTAGCTGATTTAACAAATTGAACTTCTCCCCAAACCTAACAATTGTCTTTCTTGAAAGCAATATAAAATAAGAAAAATATTAACATAAAACAATCTTAACGAAAACAAACCTTTTTCTTGGACTCTTGCTCCTTCGCCTTTCTCTACGGCTCGAACGGCAATCCTTTGCCCAATGACCTTAAAGATTTTGTAGGTTAGAATTTAGATTAATATTATCATTTAGAAGGCGAAAGCAGTATGATATTACCTTCCCTACCACACTTAAAGCACTGATTTTCGGCTAAAAACCAAAGATAATTATTTTTGTTAATATGATACTGCTGACAATTAATAATTATTTGAAATCGATGTATAATGCTGTTTAATGGAATTTTTGTTTGATTCAAAAAAATTTACCTGGTTTTCTACCACCATTTTTTGCCCATTCAACAACAATACGATTTCCGCGTACTCGCTAATAGAAATTATAATAAAACGAAATTATAAAAAAAAACTTTCTATAATTAAAACCTCATTTTAAATGTCCATACTTTAGCTTAATATACACACCAAACCATCAGTTTCTTTCATTGCGTCAGATGCATCTCTCTCGTCTTGATATTCAACAAAAGCGTAACCTCGTTTCACTTCCAATCGATTAAGACGTCCATATTTGTCAAAGATGTGTTCAAGATCACGAGGGTGAGTATCCAATGATAACCTAAGATTTAAGTAGAGGGTAAATAACAAGGACCAAACTTTATAATAGAAATTTTGACGAGTACCTTCCAATAAAAAGCGCCATTCCCTTGGATAATATAAGGAATTCTAATTTACAAATTTTTGCTCGTGTATTCAAAAAATAATTTGTTTGATCAACAGCCGAACTTTATTTTTAGTTCAGATCTGCTGATGCAATGAAAATCATGAAAATTTTTTATCCTTCCGTAATCACAAAAGTTCAATGTATAAAAAATGACAAAGTTTATAAAGTAATCAATGTTGCTTTTAATATGACTAATTATAACCTAAAAAAAATACAATATCAAGAATAATGCGGGTGATTCAATTTATAAAAAAAAAAAAAAGAAATTATTTAAAAGGTTTTTAAAAGGTTTAATTAATATTGCACAATTAATAATAGAACAAAATATTCAAATATACGATGTAACTCAAATTACTATCGCTAAAGAGTTAATAATCAATTTAGTTAAATATATTACCTTCGCACATATAGAATATCGCTCTAAGTCCTAAGTTTAGGCTTAAGATTTAACTATCAAGAGAGAGTATGCATTTATAGAAGCGTTACCGTATATAAATCATTTTGTTATTTTTGCTATTAATTTGTTTGTTAAAAGAGTTTAACTGTTATAATAAATTATTTGCTTTATTTCGACGCTTTTCTTCTTTGGTGTAAAATTTAGCCCTCTCAAGACAAAATTTTAGGTGAAAAGGTTGTCACTGCTTTCCGGGTCTTCCTCACAGTGATGGTAACAGGTACGGTGCTAGAAGCTGATGGCGGGCGGTGATTGAGTCAAATAGCTTCTCCAAGTTTTGATGGTGTTGGTAAAGTATCTAGAATTTCTGTATATGTCATGCGGGGCCTGCAAATTCTTATGTTAGACAATGATTTATTTTATAATCGACAAATGATTATATACCTTTCATATCTAATATTATAACAGGATTTCTAAGCGAATTTTGGCAATTATCAATGAATTCAATGAAGGCTTCTTTAGAGTCGAATTTCACTCTTTTATTCTCAATAATCCACCATTGAGCCCATAAGACCGAAAAGTTTTTGAAGGCCTACAAATAATCCAACAAGATCGTTCCATGTGCTGTTTTTCATAGGAAATACCCTTGATTGGTTATACTGGTAGTATATAGCTAGAGATAAGAAATAGCACAAGTTATCAAACATTCTCTAGATGAAGAAAAAAAGAGTATATATCCGAAAGTAGTTACTTACCCTTCTCTTTGACTTTAAGTATTTTCGTCGATTATTAAATAACAAGAATGAAAGTTAAAACAATGTCTCGTTCACTCGCGTTCACCAAAATTTATTACGACTCACTTACCGGTGGCAACAGGTTGCTCTACGATAACGCGAATGATTTTTTGGGGCGGGTTTGACGATAAGAAGCAGGAAAGAAAAGCACAAGAATAAGTAAGTTATTGGCGAATATGACAGACGAGAAACAAGCCACATTATCCATGCTTTGATAAAATCTGAGAGAGCATACCAGGCGGAGATATTAAAAACCTCAAATAAGTTACGTTTATCTTCGTCTGTATCGAACTCATCAAGGCAAGATACTGCAACAGCAATTTTTTCTACATGTTCGGTAAAATGAGCGAATAAACTTATTTTTTCGCCTGAGACGAACCCAAGGCGCTTTATTTCTCCTTTTAGAATTGAGACTGGATCAGACATGTTTTGGTCTTTTCCGTGATCTTTTGATTTATTAAAAGCTAATTCAGTTAATCTTCGAATCTGAAGAATTTTTGGAACATTGGTAAACAGAACAAGGGCCAAGCAACTTTTGAGGTGGCATTTATTATGTATTTTTAAAATTTTTATTGATTCATTTCTGGCACTCCCCCATACAATTCCGTGATGTTTATCTGTCGCAGATACCGCGTTTCGATTTTTATTTATGGTTTAGTTTGTCACTCCCTTATTTGTCACCCAATAGTCATGTGCGTGATTAATGCAATGTCAAACATTTAGTATAAATATACTACTTTTTTTTACTCTTAGAAATAAAAATCATTCTGATATTTTAAAAATGGTGAACGACCACGACAGCCATGCTAGCGAGGGTAAGATTGTTGTGCATGTAATAGTTTTCCAGTTTATTAGTGACTTACACTGTCCATTTTCAGGAAACGGTAACGATATACCTTCCCATCTAAAAAGAACTTGTGAAAGTCTAACTAGGCGACAGAGAGAGTTATACAATAGGTGTCCCTCTCTTGATGTTAGAATTATGTTTTTAGAAGGGATTACTGAAGAAAGAAAGAAATCAGTATGTTTTTACTTAGAATACTTATATATATATGGTCAAAGATCACTATAATTTATATTGACATTAGTTTTTTCGTCGGATTTTCTTTCCTACGAAACCTAATAGGAAATCGGGTCCGAACTAATTGGCTTAGTCTTATACACACTTATCACTGGTCTTATCGTTTTAATATATGGATTATTTTTCAAGAACGAAGAATCCACAAAGTATTTTATTGTCTTGTTGAATAGTGTCTACTACATAGCTAAAATTGTTATATTGGGAGCCAGTATGGAAAGATTAGGAATAATTTATGATAATAAAGTCTGTGCTTATATAGCCATTCCAATAATTGTGTGGACATCTTTGGCGGTCAATAGAAAAAGGGGGAATCTACAAATTTTGAGTAATTTTAGTTATTAAGCTAGTTTTTGTTCACATGACCATGATCAGCGGAGTGAACCAATAAAAATATTTTTGACTAAAAAGTGGATTTCCCCTTTTCTACTGACCGCCCCCCATATTTGTCATTTCTCCTGCTATAACTGTTACACTTGTGAATATTAGAATAGAAATGGCCAAACTTATTGTTAAATTCTTTGTTTGAACTTCTACCATATTTTTGCTAAAATAGAAAAAAATGCAATGGGAATATAATGTTTGACTATTCTTTGTTTGAATCTCTACTGTATTCTTGCTGAAATAGAGAAAAATGCAATGGGAACTTAATGTTTGACTATTCTTTGTTTGAACCTCTACTGTATTCTTAAAATAGACAAGTATTTCAGTTTAAAGAACGAATGGTCTTTGTCAGAATATCTATTATACCGCAAAAAATGTACTGATTTTCAGCCAGACAAGCATCAAAAACATTCTCTGTACACTCAAAGCCTTTCAACTATAATTAATATGAAACAGGCAAGTGGGGCTACAATAAAAAGGCTGAAAATGCGCTTGTTACTTTTCAGGTTATGTTTTTTTAAATTTTCTATGGCAGTAGGTAAGTCTAAAAGGCAATAATCCTTTAAATAGGGTCTGACCTGCGTTCAACCACCCACACTTCTTGACTAAGATCAGGTAATGATGAGTTACAGTTTGTGATAGTTTTACCCTATCTATAAATTTTTCATACTAGTTGTCAGTAAACGACTGATTTCTTTCTGGTTGTTAGTAAATAAGTCTAAAGAATAATAGTTCTTTGGATAGGTCCAACCTACATTCAACTACCTATACTTTCTGACTAAGATCAGATAGTAATAAGCTACAGTTCACAGTAATTCCGTTCTGATTCTAGTCTTATATTTTTTTCTAGAATACTATTTTTGTTTTTCTTTTGAATATTATTAATACCACATTATTTAATAGACTAAAAAGTAATCACAGCTAGTTAAAGAATTCTGAAAAAGCATTGCTTCGTTACAAAAATGAAAATTTACTGCAACAGCTGAATATATGGCTTTGACAGTATGAAATATTATAAAAATGCACATGACGAGATAATCCTTAATATATTTTTGTTGTTTTTAGAAAGAACATATCACCAATATTGTTTTTTCGACATTTGAACAAGAACAAATAATATAAGATGAAATTACAAAACAAGGATTAATTGTGTAAAGTAAATTTGTGAGATGTTTAGAATATACAGATCTTAAAGATTGTTTAAGCAAATGTTAATGTTTCTAAGTAGATGATGAACCATTACATACTCTCAGACACCAAATGCATCATCTATTTATCTTTTTCTTAAGTAAAAAGATAACTAAACTACTAAAAAAAAAATCAGCAAAAAAAAGAATCAGTATATAACTTAAATATTGTCTGCAAAAAAAAATCGCTTTTCATAAACAGAAAGTAATCAATTTAATTTTTTAGAGAAACACATTACCTGGTGATGTAAAAATTGAGAAAATGACTTCCCTGAACCTGCTACCATCAGATAATGATAATTTCACTGAAGAGTATAATGATGATAATAATGATGAAGAAGATGTTCCTTTCTCAGAAGAAACTCTCGATTTTATTCTTAACAATCAAAGAAGCTGGATCTTGCCTCAAACCTAAATGTTAATGATATAGTTGCTAAAAAAATATCTTAAAATATAAAGGTAATAAAAAAGAAAAAGAAATTATTAGCTATAGAAAAAGCTGTATTACATTATGGTTTATTACAAATAATCGATCTATCGGCTCATATGAAACAATGGTTTTCTCTTGAAGATAAAAAATTTATGATGAAGGATTATATGTCTTTATTACAAGTTTTTAGCCTAAAAAATAAAGAAACTTCCTTTATCATAACTATCAAAAAGATATATGCATTGTTTTAAATTTGCTTGTTCTATATACAAATATATATGTTGATTAGTTTTTCTTATACAGATGGTATTTAAAAATAGAATAAATGAAGCATACAAATTTTGCACTAAAAAATTTATTAACTCTGAGGCAAACAGCTACATGCAAAAGATTAGTAAAGTATACTTAGATTTGTTAGTACTTTATTTTATTATAAATTGCTTTAATTATTTTTTATGATTTAATTATAATAATTTTGATGTTTATAGTATTTACAGAAGTGAAGATAGCGATATGTTAGATTCTATACATACTGAAATTGTCATAATACTAAAAATATGTTCATATATTGTTAAAGGACTGAGAAAGAGTCTGATAGTAAAATAAAGACAGTTGGTATAAATGAGATTTGATTGTTTTGTATTCCATTCTCACAAATTACTTATGTTATAATTTTGTATATTAAAATAAAGAGAGAGTCATTCTACCTATTGAGCAGAAATATGAACTATAAAAATAGTCGCAAGTGTGATATGCACTTCTTATCACAATCAGAAGTAGATCTTGAAGAGTACATCACAAAAGGCAATTGATAACTATTATCGATCAGCTCGTATTAATCAATCATTATTAAATGGTCTGTTAAATCACAACCTGACTAATGAATAGGTTAAGAAAATCAATGTTCCTTTTTTACAGATTGCAAGTATAAATGGGCAGATGTTAATTGAGGATTTGATTGAGAGTTTCTATGTTGTCTTTCTGGGTATAAAGTTTGAGCTTCTCACAAAGTTTCAACATATTGAAAAGGTAAAATCCTCTGTAAATATTATCAAGTTTACCCATGATAACTTACATTTCTATTCAAATATCTGAAGTATTTGTATTATTAATCTATTTTAACATAATACAGGATATGTATAAGAAAATAAGTGAAATCATGAAAACTAAAGAAAGTACAAATAATGTGTTGATAATATTTTTGATAGTAATGAACTTAACATGAGTCGACCTATTCATTATAAGTCAGAATATATTTATAAATTATAGTGGATTGCCAACAATAAATAGCAAATAAAAATTCATATTTAGAGAGGAAAATGCTAAATTATATATTTTTTAAATTTACGTGGTTATTTATATATTCTAAAAAAAATAATAAAGATTTCTATTAGTAAATTAATTAAAGTATGCATTAGAATTTTTGGGTAATATTAGTAAAGTGGTAAGCGTAATATTCATGTGATTTTTTCTGACCTAATTATAAATTAGCCAGAGCTGAAACATTTTTGTATTACGCTTTACAATATATCAAATCTTAGCCAAATTGCAAGAGGATCAAATTAAAAAATCACACAGATAAAATTAAAGTTTTTAGTTTATTCAATGAGACCAATTCTTGAAATAACTACATATGGGTTTTCATAATACTATACCTTAAGACAATCTAGTTTTTTTCACATAATTCTTTCTTAAGTTGATCTCGTTTCTGCTGTTTGATAAAGTTATTAGGATCCTCTCTATGAAAGAACTTATTAAATTTTTCGTGTTGCTCTTTTTAGACTTCAATGGCAAAACCATAATCATAATATAGAATATTAAGCTCTAATTCTTGATAATATTTAGATATTTTTAAGAAATCAGATCAGCATATTTTAGATAGTAATCTAAGATATTTTAATACTATTTCTCAATAGTTTTTCTCTTTTATTTTTCAAGTAGAATGAACACTATGAGTTTGAATGTTTAACATTACTAAATGATGCAATCCATAAATATCCTTCAGTATATTTTCATAATGAAGCTGAATAACTATTAGTAAAATATTTAGAAAGACATGTTCTATTTCTATTACATGCTAATTACTTAGCATCTTCAAGTATACAAGGCTTATTATTTACGCAATGTGAATATTATGTCTTATTATTTTTATATTATTAAAAGATGCATTCCACTCATGTCCTTTAAAATAATATCATTACATTAGAATATTAGAATTAATGTATTTAGTAGAAACATATAGCCTATTTTTGCTACAAGCTAGTTGTTTTACATTTTCAATAGTAAGAAGTCTATTACCTATGCAATGTAAACACCATTTCTTACTATTTTTGATACTATAAAAAGTTGTAATCCAAATATGACCTTTCATACATTGCAATTGCATTGAAGTATTGGCATTAATATATTTGGTAGAAATACATAACCCATTTTTATTACAAGCTAGTTGCTTTGCATTTTCAATAGTAAAAGGTTTATTACCTGCATAATGTTTAATATTACAAAGTGTTACAGTTCATTTATAATTGTTTACACATTATTATTACATTTAAGTAAAACTGGTCCTATTGGAGTATTAGCATTAATATATTCAAAAGAAACACATGTTTTATCATGTTCTTTAATAATTGCAAAAGCATTATTTAATGTCAATCTTTTTATTGATTTTTTAATAAAAAATTAAAACTTTAATTATCAGATTTTTGAAACTTCCTATTTATTGTAGAATAATAATACCTGTAATCACAAGGAAGTGAATAATCATCAGATTATGAATGAACTTAAAATATTTTATTAGCATCTAATTAACTATAACAAAAAAACTTTTGAGAAGTTCATGCATAATATGAAAGAAGAATACAGTAAGTAAATAAATGTAAATAAGAAATTACAATACAAAATTAAGGACCTAAAGATGCAAATATATGAGGCAAAAAAAAGCTAATATCTACAAAGTCAGATTCTTTATTAACTAAGACACTTTTTCCTTATACTTCTGCTTCATTTTTATTTCCTTCTTAATAGAGTGTCAAATATTAGTCAAATTGCAAGAGGATCATCTTCCAGTCTACTAAAATCAAATACTACAAACTAACCTTTACAGAGGTAGCTATTAATAACTATAAATGCATCTTTTACATCATCAATATATCGCCTAGCTATCTTGAATACATGTTGAAATTGCTTTCTATTATATATTACTATAAGAGAGATATTCTTACAAATAATAATTGGTACGTAATGGTACTTCTGAGTAAAAGAATATAAAAATATATTCTGATGTTATCCATATATAAAAAATGATATAATTCAATTTTAGATTAATTTAAAAGTAATATATATATCCACAAAAATGATTACAGTACTTCTCTTAAGTGAAATAATTTTATACTAGGAATTTTTTTTGAAGATATGTAGTTAAATCTAATATTCTTATAATAAGATGCTTTAGGATTGCTTGTTATTATTCTGTACAGATATATCTAATGAATACTTATTTTAGCTTATCAGGATGGTAATCACAAACTATTAAATTATCATACCTAATATATCTAAATTCTTCCTTTTGTCTTTTATATATGATCATATTTATTTCTGAAAATAAGGTTTACCAGTAAATTGGTCTTACCTGTATTACTTCTTCTTCTAACTATCATATTAAAAAATCATGTTATTGTTAAATGTTTAATATTTCAGAATAATTCGTACCTTTTAATTTCATCTATATCTGTAAAATAAAGTTTTATAAGGTATAATTTAGTCTTTTGATTCTTTTGCATAATAAATTAAAAATTTATAACTTTGATTTCTATCAGAAGGTATTATATATTTTGAAATTTTTCTCTTTATTAATAGATGGAATAAAAAAAAATAGATTAAAGAAAATAGATCATAAAAAATATATGATTAGTAATAATATTATAAGAAAAATTGCAAACTAAAAAAAGAAGGAATCAAATTTCTTATTAGCTAAAGCTTTATTAGTTTTTAGTATTGAAATAGATGCATTCATATTATGAATTCAGGTAGTTTTAGAACTAATGTTACTGTTATCTTTCTCCTGTTCACTAATATTTGAATTTTCTTTAAAATTTGCTTTTTCAAGCATTTAAAACTCACTAGATATTTTTAAGATTTGCTTAGCTAAACAAGTATTAGCTAATCTCTTTAGGTCTACTTTTTGAAGAAAATTTTTTCTAATAATATATTTTATAATACTTTTGATAATCTTTCTTAGCAATATTTTTTTTGATTTCTTTCACTTTATTTTCAAATTCAAGTTCATAAACAAGACTTTTTAAATTATTATTATAACTTTAAATCTTCTTATTTACCTACCTCCTCTAGTATTCCTCCATTTATATTCAAATTATGAAATACCTGTTTTAGTTTTAGATTTTCTAACTTATCTTTTAATTCACTTATTTTAGCTTCAAAAGAAAGAATTTTGAATTTATTAAAGAATGAAGCTTTTTGTATCAAAGTTGCTTTTGCTTCAATATTTTAATCTCTAATTTAAGTGATTTTATTTTAGCAAAATATTTAGTTTTAAGCTTAATATAGGTTGTCTGATCAAAACTAATTTTGGATTTAAGCTTAGTATTGATTGTATTTAGATGACTAAACTTATTGTTAATGCTAAAACAGATATGATTAAAATTCTTCACTCACTTTAAATATATGTTTAGCAAGTCTTTATATTCATTAGCAATATCAGAAGCAGTTTTGATACTATTATGTAATACTTTTTCAAATTCTAATTTACAGATATTACCAAGTTGATGATCTAGAAAGGTGTTTCCTTTAGTAAACCTAACTGTTCTTTTATTATTAATATCTTTTAAAGTATATATATTAGACATAATTTTTTTTTAGTTTAGTCATTAGTATACTAGAAAAATTTATGAGTGAATTTTTAAGACTATGCGATCTACTTATTTTTTATGAATATTAGCAATACTAATATATTACTAATACTATAGTATTACTAATATTAATATAGTACTGATATTATTATAGTCAGACCTCTATATAATCACCCTATATAGTCACACCTCTATATAAGAACCCGATTGTGTGAAACAGACTTTAACTTAGTTAATTTACCTCTCTATAGTCACAAATCGATTATAATCACTATCACCACATGATCTGTAACGTACATATTATTTTCATTAATAATTTGACCCCTCTACAATCACCAATTTCTGATTGGTCATAAATTAATAAAATCCGATTGGCCGCAAATTAATCTTTATCAACTGATTATCGTTTTCTTTTAAAAATTTTTATTAATCTTTACACCCACCTTTTTTTATATACAACTTTATTCTCTCTTTTGTACTCTCTTTTTATAAGTGGTGGGTTGATTAAGAAGTGAAACAGAACGTAAAATATTTACTTATTAGTTGCTTTGCTTAATTATTATTGTAGCTGAGTTTTTAATAATATTTTTTTTTTGATTATTGTTTACATTATATCACTTTCTCTTTGTTGGTTACTCACTGAGTTTACTGTTGAATTTTTTTTGGTTACTCGTTGAGTTTACTTACATACTTCCTCTCTGATTTTTGTTATTGATTACTTGCTAAGTTTGCATACTTCCCCTCCAATTTTTTGTTATTAGATTTTTGTTGGTTGCTTACTGAGTTTACATACTTTCTCTCCGATTTTTTGTTGTTAGATTTTTGTTGGTTGCTTACTGAATTTACATACTTTCTCTCCGATTTTTTGTTGTTGGATTTTTGTTGGTTATTTGTTGATATTTTTTATTACCTTTACTCTTTTTCTTATTATGCCTGCTGATTGACAGCCTAAATAACACCGTTCAGCTATTAGTAATTATCTTAAACGTCAAATATGTATATGGTCGGAAATTAATAAAAATAAAAAACATCATGAAATTGTTACGTATTTTAACGAAAAATATCCGAATGTAACAATTGATCGAAGTACTATATCCAAGATTCTGAAAGAAAAAGATAAATGGAAGGCTGTAGTTAGTGCTGAAGTTTCAAATAAAACGTTTAGGTAAGCTTTTTTCTTTTATAACATTTTGAAACTTCATTATAGCTTATAAATTCTTTAAATTCTAGGTATAGAGAAGTTAAATTTCTAATGTTAGATCATGTCATGAGTCTATGAGTAGAAAATGTAACAGTTGGGGGCATCACTTTAACTGATTTATTAATTAAAGAAAAAGCTAGAGTTTTTGCTCAAGCATTT